ACCTCAGGAACCTCAGGAACTTCTTCATCATCTTCATCAGAAGAAGATGATGATGGGAGGTTTAGCACTTTTGTAAAGAGCAAAAACAACAAAGAAAAAGTTATTCCTCATCTAGAGAATATTGGATCGATGGTCTATAAAGGGAGGGGTTCAAATCCACTTTCAAAAATTAAGGCATCTGATTTGTTGGAAAAAATAAAACAAAGCTTTAATAAAAAAATGGAGAATGAAGATTCAGATAACTTGGGTGTTTTGACAGAAACTTCTGATTCATCAAATGATTCTGGTTCAGGTTCTGGATCTGGTTCTGATTCAGGTTCTGATTCTGATTCTGGTTCTGGTTCCATTGCTATTTCTGGTTCTGGTTCTGGTTCAGATTTTGGCTCTGGCTCAGGTTCAGGTTCAGGTTCGGGTTCGGGTTCGGGTTCGGGTTCGGGCTCCGATTCTGGCTCCGATTCTGGCTCAGGTTCTGGTTCTGGTTCAAGTTTTAATTTTTCAAATGATTTAAATTCAGAAAATATCGTCAATTCTCTCGATGAAGGATCAAATAATAATTCCTTTCTTTTAGATTCAGGAAGTGGAGGCTTTGTTGAAAGATCTGATGATCAAAATAATGAAATCCAAGAGCAATATGCACAAAATTTACTTTTCAAATTCGAAAAAAGTAAGGAAGTAGATATTTTTAAAAAAAATGATAGCAATAGCGAAAATGAAAATGAATTTAAAAAATCCAAAATTTTTCCATGGGAAAAAAGAGAAAAAGCCGATCAGGGAAATTATGATTATGATGGTTTTGATCACGGCAATGATGGCGATGATGATGATGATGATGATGATGTTGAATATCTTAAATATCTTAAGGATCGAAAAAAAAAAAAAGTACACATTGCAACGTTTGCAGACGAATATGGCAAGCATATCCTAACCCAAGAAAATTCACTATTACGGGAGAATTTGTCAAAGCAGCAAGCACAGGTCGACCATTTGACGTTACAGATGGTATCTTCGGCTGAGCATCTAAAAAATGTAAAAAGGGTTATTTCGAATAATGACAAATCAATCAAAGCAAGTTTAATTCAAAAAAGTGAAAAATTGCAAAAAATAAATGAGCAAATGGAACAATCAATCAAAAAAATGGAAAAGGAATGCGAAAACATGGAAAATAAATGGAAGAATCTAATAAAAGCTGGTTCAAAGCATGAAAAACCTGAACTGTTTCGAAAAAAATTCATTCCTTACTATGTCCCTCAATTTCCAAATAAGAAAAATTATCTGCCAGTGCTAAATAAAATTAGAGAACTGCATGCCCTAATCGGCCTATTATGCTCTAGAATTGAAAGAATCGACCAATCTTCAAGATCAGAAATTGAACACAAAAATAATCAATCACGATTAAAGGATATTAAACTAATGAAAAGTAAAATTGTTCTTGGGATGTTAGAAACTCAATTATTTGATAATAGATCAAGGGAATTTTTAAAAACAAAAAACGATTAACCACAAATTATACTATATTTTACAGGTTTTTTTTTAAAATTTTTCAGTTATTCTTTTTGATATTTTTTTGAAATTGGTTTAGTATTTATGTTCTTATTATGTTTTTTGATTTTTCTTTGAGATATGCCGATGGTTAGGGTTAGGATGGGTTGGGCCATCATTCCTAAAATCATTAATCCCAAATCAAAATTATTTCAGAGCAAAAGGGGATCAGTTTTGGTGGAGAGTGAAAATCTGGGTTTAATGGTTTTGAATGGATATTAGAAGAAAACATTTTATTTTGGAAATTTCGAAAGGGTTATTCATTAGACCTTTTGACGATTTTCTATACTAATTCGCGATAAATTTCAAAAATCGCGATAATTATAATAAAATCGTGTAAACTATATTATCGCGATATTCAACATTATCGCAATAATAATAAAATCGCGATAATAACACAATTATCGCGATTTAAAAAATATCGCGATTAAACAGGAAATTATGTGTAGGCTAAGTTTAAAATTTTAAAATAAAAGCTCATTTAGACTCTCAGTCAAATTAAAATAAAAATCATAAAAATAAAAAAAAAAAAAAGTAAAATGAGATAGGTCTTTTTATTGTCTCTGATTCAAAGAACTTAAAAATTGTTATTTAAAGGGTGGACATTTCTAATCTCCCAATTGATACAGTCAGTTTCGCTTTTAAGGCACAAACTTTCAACAAAATTTAAGGCACAAAAAAATCTCAAAATAAGGCACAAAATTTGTAATTATTTTTTTTACAATTTATTTTTACTAGAATTTGAATTTTGTGCCTTAATTTGAGATTTTTTTTGTGCCTTAAATTTCGTTGATAGTTTGTGCCTTAAAAGTGAAACTGACTGTAAAATTGGGTTATTTTGGAACTGCTCTTCCACATTAGAATTCCCCCAACTGGTAATATACTGTACCCTCCCGTTAATCCACGAATAAATATAATGAATGCCCCTCAGCATTGTCTATTGTTTGGGATTTAATAATATGAGTTTTATGTTTGCCATAATACCACTCCCTTTGGTTTTCCATTGAGTACTTGATTAGTTCAAGTGTAACAACTACGATTGCAAGGCATTTTTGAAAATTTGTTAAAGTAAAATTATTTTGTTTTTGTTCTTGCTTACGATTCCATTTGATATATTCAATTGCGAGTGGTTGATGTGCGTCCTCAATCGTATTCTTGATGATAGTATAATCTTCCACTTTGTCATTCTAACTGCAATACTCAATTCCTCATAAGTAGAATATTTTCAAAACCAAGTTAAATAAACAAAAAATTTCCGATGGGTGGTGAGTTTTATTGTCTTCCTACCCTTCTTCTGGTGAGTCTCGGTAGGTAAATATTTTTTAAGGTTTCAAATTCTAAATTTGAAAACCCTGTTCAATTTCAAAAGGTCATTTTAATATTTTAATTGAAAAAAAATAATTATTTATGGGGTGAAATAATTATAAAGAATTAACTCTTTTCAATTGAATTAAAAAACCGAGAATTCTCGCTTTTGATGAATTAAATTTTGTCAAAAAAAAAAATTTCCAAAAACTTTATTTCTTGGCAGGAATTCCTTAATGTTCAATTTGTTATAGAAATTACCGAATTTCAATTAATGGGTTACTATTGAGGAATAGAATTTAGGTAAAAGAAATTACGTGAAAGAAATTCCGTAAAATAAAATCAAAAGTTAAAAACAAAGTGAGAAAATTGGAGGAATATCTTTTGTTCTTGGTGTCTTAAATCAAAATAAGTGAATTTATTTCGAAATATATTTTTTATTCCGTAATAGAAATTGCGGAAAATCCCTTATTTAAAAATGTTTAATTTTTTTTTAGTGGATAAAATCAAAATGATTTAAAAATCAACCAATAAGGGTTCAAATTCTCTTATTTTTCTTCCAAAATTCAAATAAATAAAGAATATCATTTTATTTTTTTTTTGAAATTAATTGAAATAGATTGAAATTTATTTATTGAAAAATATTCAACGACTGTTTTTTTGTATCGATTGGAACACATCTCGCCAAAACAAAACAATTTTTCAACCAAAATGGAAATTAAACAATTCTTTATCGAACCAGAAATTAAATTTCTCTTTTTTGTTCTTTTCTTCAACCAAAAAAAATAAAATAGAGTTGTTGTGTAAAAGTCTAATTATGTTGCGTAAAGTTTGGGAATGTTGTACTATTCAAATTTATAATTGTGCAATATTTAATTTATAATTGTGCAATATTTAATTTAAAGTACAATACTTTTTTGTCTGAAATAGTTAGAATTTGCTTAAGTGTGGTACAAATCAAACAATTTGTGGGATTATTGTGCAATTAATTATCAATTGTTAACAGTCAGTTTCACTTTTAAGGCACAAACTAACAACGAAATTTAAGGCACAAAAAAAATCTCAAATTAAGGCACAAAATTTGTAATTTTAATTTTTACAATTTATTTTACTAGAAGCTGAATTTTGTGCCTTAATTTGAGATTTTTTTGTGCCTTAAATTTCGTTGAAAGTTTGTGCCTTAAAAGTGAAACTGACTGAAATAGATACTCTTATCTTCCTTTTTTCACCGAAAAATTTGATTTAATTCCTTTTTTTTTTCTTAAATTTGATTTTTACTAAAGTATTTCTTTTAAAATAAAAAAATCTATTTGAATTTTGGGAATTTATTTTTTGGATTATTTTTTTATTTTTGAAAAATTGATATATAAATTTTTTTTATAAAGTAAACATAAAATATCCTAAATATTTATGTAAACCGAAATTAGGAAAGGGTAAATTAATGTTGTTTTATTAATTGTTTTTAAAAAATTAAAAAAAGTCTTTAAAAGGAAAAATCATTTTTTTAAAATCATTTATTTTTCTATAGGGTGTTTTTTTTTTTTTTTTTTGTTTGTTTGTTTGTTATTCCGATTTTTCATTTGAAATCAAAATGAAATTTGACGAAGAAATCACACAAATATACGAGAATACCAATGAAATCGGAGAAGAGCAGATATTACAAATTAGGTTGATGATTCGAAATCAGGATGAATAGGAAGAAATAGAAGATAATAGGATCACTATTTAGTCAGTTTCACTTTTAAGTCACAAACTTGTAGTTTTTCAACCAAATTTATTTTGTATAAATCTCTTATTATCAAAAAACAGAGTATCTAAACTTTTTTAATCTTGTTAAATTAAAATTCCTATTATTAGCTCTTCATTCAATTTCAAATTAATAGATTTTTAATTCGGTTTTCATAATTAGAAAAAAATGTTTCATTAAATTATGTTAGAAATTTTTTTTTATTATTTGTTTTATTGATCAACAGTTCTCATTCAATTTTCGTTATTTATATATGTGAGTTATTTTTTTTTGATTTAGAATAGGTTATTAATGAAAGAATTTGAAATATAATGTGTATTTAATGAGATATTTTGTTAATTGTTTGGGACTAAAAAATGAAAAGATTTATAATTAAATATTTTTAAAACATGACTATTATGTAAATAACGGGATAGTAGTTTAATGGTAGAATGCACGGTTGTGGTCCGTATGACGTAAGTTCGATTCTTGCCTATCCCAGTTTTTTTTTTACGTTTTAAAAACAGAAATTAAGAGTATTAAACTTTGGGAATCCAGTGAATATCATATTTTTTTATCATCGGCTTGAATTAGGAAGTTTATGATAGATCAAAATACTTTTTTTCAACAAAATCAGAAAAATTAGATAAAAATTAAAATCCAAAAAAGAAATAATTATTCCACAAAAGATAACAAAACTTGTTGATGAAAAATATTTTATTATTGAAGAGCGTTGTGTTTATTTTTCTTCTTCAAATGTTATTTTTCTCTACTGACACTTTGGATTTCAAAAATTCAATTTTCGATTGTTTTTTTTTTACCTAATTTACTTGCTAATTTGATCTTTTTTTAAAGTAATTCCAATAAAGCAATTCACAAATTTTAAATCTTGAACATGGGTTTCTATTATGATAATAGTTGTTGCAAAATAAATGGAATAAAATTTTCATTCAGCTTTCTCAAAAAAAAATTTTAAAAATCATGAAAAATTTCAAATTTTTTATTCCATAAATAAGCTTAAACCATTTTTTTCCCTTTTTGGTATTGGGGTTTTTTGATTTTTAATTCTTGAGTTTTATTTTTTTGGAAAGCTAAATAAAAATTTTGATCTTTTGATTTTAATAATAACGGCAAATTCAAAAACTTCCACCTATTTCCAAAGCCATACTTAATTTCCATCTTTTCAATGCTTCAACCTTTTCACAAAATCATTTTTTCTTATTTTGTTTTAAATCGAATAGAATTATCAAAGTTTACAATCAAAATGAAAACTTCAAAGGATGTTTATAATCAAATCTTCTAAGATAACAAATATGATTAAGAAGAATTCTTTTTTGGAATGAAGGAAGGATCAAATATTGTAGGTACACCAAATGAAAAGGGGAATATGATCAAGAAGAAGTCCCGATGCATCCTATTATTATTTCAAACAAAATGAACAGATTGCTTGGTCAAGAAACCCACAAATGGATTTAACTGTTGGCAGCTTAACTAAAAAAAGACAAAAAGAAATCGAATAAGAACCAGAATTATTAAAACAAAAAAGGAAAAAAAAAGAGAAAAATGAAACAGAAACAAAAAAAAAACAAGAAGAAAAAAAAAAACAAGAAACAAAAAGAAACAAGAACAAAAAGAAACAAGAACAAAAATAAACAAGAACAAAAAAAAACAAGAACAAAAAAAGGAAAAAAAAAGAGAAAAATGAAACAGAAACAAAAAAAAAACAAGAAGCAAAAAAGAAACAAGAAACAAAAAGAAACAAGAACAAAAAGAAACAAGAACAAAAAAAACAAGCAAAAAAAAAACAAGCAAAAAAGAAACAAAGAACAAAAAAGAAACAAGAACAAAAATAAACAAGAACAAAAAAAAACAAGAACAACAAAAAACAAGCAAAAAAGAAACAAGAAACAAAAAAGAAACAAGAACAAAAAGAAACAAGAACAAAAATAAACAAGAACAAAAAAAACAAGAACAACAAAAAACAAGCAAAAAAGAAACAAGAAACAAAAAAGAAACAAGAAACAAAAAGAAACAAGAACAAAAAGAAAAAGCTCAAAAAAAAACAAGAAACAAAAAACAAAAAAAAAACCATAAGAAACAAAAAGATTAACAAAAAGGCTCATAAAAATGAAAGAGAAAACCACAAATAAACAAAAAAAAAAAAAGGAAAAACCAAGAGAAAAGAAAACATAAAGAAAACAAAAAGAAAACAAAAAGGCTAATAACCACACTCTAATCCATACACTACCGCAGGCTCTAATTTCTAATTTTAATATTCAACACCAAAAAAATTAACAATAAAAATCTTGCAGTATAATTTTTTTACAAGAACAAATTTCAAATACTCACACCTTTAATGAAAATTTTATGAATTCAGTTTTAGATTTTTTAGTTCACTTTTGCCAAATAATAATGTGGATAGAGGAAACTAAAAAACACAAAAGCACACTAACTGGTAAAAGGTAGAGAATTCCATGTAATCCCGAATAAAAATTTTTTTGTGTGATCAAGTTGGATCACACTGTACTATACTAAAGCCTTTTCAGCCCTACCATGAAAAGTTCTAAGACAGGAAATTGATTTTCTATTCTCAAATATTTATCTTGCATAACAAACCGTAAAATGGCCCTGAAAGTTTATCATGGACTGTAAAATTTATAATAAACTTTGTTTCAGTCAAAAGTTGTCACAATTTTTTTTTTTCAAATATAACTTATTTTTGATAATTGACTTTTGAAGAACAAATAAAAAAAAAAAGTAGAATAATACACATCCAAGAATAGATGATATCCGTTGGGAATAAAACTAAAAAATCAATACATTTTCTTAAAAATAAAACAAACTAAAATTCCGAAGAAGCCCCATTGAGAAAAACAACTATGTTCATTTTGATCTTTCGATGAAAGATCCAAAGAAAATTACAATAGAAATAAATGGTATATTATTAAATTTCAAAATCGGTCAAATTGAAAATTTTCATATTTTTGAAGAGTTTCTTGATTATTATCATTGGTATGAAACTTTTTAATGTTTTTTTATAATTGTGGGAGGAAAAAGCAAAAAGATTATTTTGCAATTGGTAGTATTTTATATTACTTAAATTGTAGAAAATCCAAAATTTTGAAATAATCAATACTAAATATTTTTAAAAATATATTCAAAACCCAATTTTAACCACCAAAAGATAACTGGAAAATTTTTACCCCTTAAAACAAGTTACAAAAGTCTAATTGGCCTCTTAATTATTTTTTTTTTTCAAAATCCTTGCCAAAATTTTCTTGCATACCATCCAAACTACCCAAAATTACTCTAACCCACCCCAACATACCATAACCTACCCGTAAAGGGGTTTTTAATACCACAGCCAATAAATTTCAATAGAATTTACTATTTTGAAAAAAATGAGAATTTGACCAAATTTGAAATTTAATAATTTTCCCGTTGATATCCACCTGGAATAAAACTAATAAATCAATAGATTTTCGTAAAAATTGAAAAACTAAAAAGACTTAGTTCACTATTGAGAAAAACAACAATGTTCATTTTGATAATCAATTGAGGATCCAAATAAAATTCCTAATAGAAATCAAAATGATTTCTCTACAATCATTTTTACTTTATCAATAACCGTGAACTAAGTCTTTTTAGTTTTTCAATTTTTACGAAAATCTATTGATTTATTAGTTTTATTCCAGGTGGGTATCAACTATTCTTGGGTGTTTATTATTCTACTTATTTCTTATTTAATCTTCAAAAGTCATTTATAATAAATAATTGATATTTGAAAAAAATGTTGGGAACTTTGACTGAAACAGAGTTTACGATATCTTTTTCTACAAGCTAGTTTTTTTTTTATTTTTTCTAATTTCCAATAATTGACACCAAAAATAACATTAACTCTAATTTTGATATTAAAAATTGAATGGAAATTGTTGATCAATAAACTAATAAAGAAAAAAAAATCAAAAAAAAAATAAGCAAAATAAGAAAAAATGATTTCAATTTTGAAATTTCATAAAATAAATTTTTCTTCTAATATCAATCCAAACCCTTTAAACACATGTAATTCCCCCCCTACAACTGGGCCCTTTTTGACTGGGAAATGGCTTTGAAGAAAAAAATTATCAAGTTATCCGTTTTTTATCTTTGACATACTTTGGTTCCTTTGGTATTAGAAACTGAAAAACATATTGATAAAAAAAACTTACCTTACACGATCATGAAAAAATTTTTTCAAAAAAAAATACAAATATTTGCTACTTTTACCCTTTTTAATAACTTCAATTAGAACAAACACTATTGGTTAATAAAGGATCTTTGATCAAAAAATATTTTTCAAGATATTTTAACAATTTAAGTTGAAAAATCCAATTTTCCGGTTTTATTAATACTTTTTTTCAATTTAATAGAACAAAATTTGAATGATTTTTTTTCACAGTTAAGAGGTCATTTCATTATATTTTAATAGTATTTTAAATATGATGAATATCTTTCAAATAGGGAATCAATTATTTTGACTATTAAGGGATTAGCGTCACCATAGATTTCTCTATAATCAAAGTATATTGTAATTGGGTGTAAATATATATTAGTGCACGATGGCTCAAATAGCTCTAAAAAATCTATAATAAATCTTAATGCACAATAAATTATTACATTTTTTACTAATGATCACTATTAAAAAAGTTTCATTTTGAAAAAAAAATTTTTAATTCCTTTTCCAAATCTAAAAATAGAAACCCAAAATACAGTATTATAGTATTTAATAATTTAGATTTAGAACTTCCAAAAGTAACTATTTTTATAATTTTTTAATTTCAAAGATTAACTCAATAATCATCAACATAAAAGCACAAAGACTGATTATTTTTGTTTGCTTTTGAAAAATATTCTTGTATTATCAATATATTTCCATGATTTGAGAAATAATTAGTCAAAAAATTTATTTGTTAATTATTTAATTTTTAAAAAAAATTGAATTTTTTAGTAACTAATCTACATTTCGCCACAAATTTAAGAAAGATATTTTGTGACTTTGTAGTCTGAATATTGATAATTCAACCTTTAAATTTATGGCGAAATGTAGATTTTACTCTGAAATTGTTGAGTTTTTTACTAATACATGATCATTGTTAATTGATGAGATCAACAAATATTACTACTTGACTAATCGATTTTTTAGAGACATTTGAACCATGTAGCACTAATTCTGTTAACGTCCAATAACAACATACTTTGATCCTAGGCTTCTCCTTGGTAGAAGCTAACCCCTTAAGGAATTATTTGGTAAATTAAATTGGAAAAAATATTTTTTCTTTGATTTTTTTTTTTTTACTTTTTGTAATAAACAAAAAATTTTTAAAAATTTTCTGTTTATTTCAAAAAGTAAAAAAAAAAAAACGCCGTTAGCTTTTCCAGAATTAAAAAGAATTGAGTAAAATCTAAGATTTTTCTCCATTCTTTTGAATTCTGGTTAAGTGTCTTTAGTATTTCTTGAGTTT